AGTAGCATCCTCCTAGCTGGACCCCAGCCGATACAACGAGGTCTTGTTTTATGCAAATTTGAATTATGTAGATCTAACACTGTGAACTGGATACATGTTAAGAGTTCCCTTGTACACACCAAATTTCCAACAGTGTGAATCCTGCAAAAGCATGAATTCTCCTAGAATCTCACTTAGGGCAGCATGGGTGGACAGCCAGGAAACATCATTGCCACAAGGTGGCGCCCGCCTTCAGGTAAACAGAAACGTGGGTGCTCCTTTGTTGGGATGAGATGTGAGTTATGTGGTTTCAGATGATGCGTTTTCTTCCCACAAAAAGCAGGCAGCTGCTCTGTCGTTCCAGGCTGAATTTGCCTTTGAAACTGAAGGCCATGTGGCATTAGAAAACGTTAAAAATTCAAGTGAAAGACAGTAGCTGATAGCATGCCCTTATGATAGTAGCTCATAGCCGGTTCCCCACTTCTCACGCGGCCACTTCCATAAAAATGAACAACACAATCTATGCAAATGGCGAACGCAACCAAATGGTGTCTATAATGTAAAATGAGGGTCTTGCACTGCTTCCTCCCCAGCCCCCCCCACCAATCCTGTCCTTGTGACGCAAGAGCATTTAAGTTTCTACCTGCATTGCCAGCGAAATGGCTCCTAGCTCTCGAATCCCTGCGTTCTGTTACTCCGGGATTTTTGCGTTGCCTGTGGCGATGCACTAGTGGCGTTTTGGGTGGGACAATGTTGTGTCGTGTGGGACGGCACATGAGCGTTCCTGCCCCCAGTCCCGCCCGAGGTGGAGGGTCTGCCACTTACGTGAGGAAAACATCTCCGAGTGTCCTTGCGGGCGGGCGGCACCTGCTTCCGTTGAGAACAGCGGCTCTACTTGGGCCTTCAGAACCCTGAGTGGTGATGATGTCTCATTTTCATTTCCTCACACGTGGTTTTCCTTGCCTCCTTTCTTTGTAAAATGACGATAATGATGGTGCTCCCCCATCTGTCTCATCCCATCTCTCACTCTGCTTCTCAGCTTATGCTGTTTGTATTGTTTCTGTTCCATGTTCAAAACTGGCAACACTTAATCTGGACTCTGGAACCATAAGAACATTGTCCATCCTTATTTGTTGTTGTTGTCGTGTCTCTTTGTGACCCCATGGACTGTAGCCCACCAGGCTCCTCTGTCCGTGGGATTCTCCAGGCAAGAATACTAGAGTGGGTTGCCACTTCTTACTTCAGGGAAATCTTCCTGACCCAGGGGTCAAACCTGTGTCTCCTGCATTGACGGGCAGAGTTTTAGCACTGAGCCACCTGAAAGTCCCCCATCCTTATTTAGCTTTATTTTAAATGCTGAAAATCAGTAGTAATAACTATACAAATGTCTCTATGCATTTTCCTCTCCTGGATATTTCACACAAGTGGAATCATAGGATATGAGACCTTCTTGCCTGGCTTCTTTCACTCAGCATTACTTGTTTTAAAAAAAAGCAATTTTTTTATTTATTTGACTGCACCAGGTCTTAAGGCAGCATGTGGGATCAAGTCCCCTGATCAGGGATTGAACCTGGGCCTTCTGCATTGGGAGCGTGGAGTCTTAGCCACTGGACCACCAGGGAAGTCTCAGCATCATGTTTTGAAGGTTTGTCCATGTGGCAGCAGGAATCAGTGCTTCCTTCCTTTTTACAGCTGAATACTATTCCATTGACAGGACAGAGCACACTTTTTATCTCCCACCCTTTGATAGGTGTCTGGGGTGTTTCCCCCTTTCGGCTGTTGAGGATGGTGTTGCCAGGAACTTCCATGTACGTGTTTCTCTTTGAATATCTGTTTCCAGTTCTTTTGAGTGTGTCTGTAATAGTAAGTGGAATTGTTTAGTCATGCGAGTCACTATCTCTCACACTTATTTTTTCTTTCATTTTTCAGAAGGAAAATCCATTTTTACTGTGCTGCTTTCCCCGACTTTAGGTCTAAATTATAGTAATTGAATTTTTATGATTGAGTCACAAATGTTTGGAACAGTGACAAATAGGAGGCGATAAATATATTTTGATGGGAATTTCCTGGTGGTCCAGTGGTTAGGACTTGACACTTTCATTGCGGTGGCCCAGGGGTTCAACCCCTCGAGGGGGAACTAAGAGCTTGCAAGCCAAAATTTGTTTTTAACTTTTTGACTGCCTTGTGGCATGCGGGATCTTAGTTCCCAGACCAGGCTTTGAACCCCTGCATTGGGAGCTTGGAGTCTCAACCATTAGACCCCCAGTGGAAAAAAAGCAAAAACATATCTATATATATCCTAAAGGAAATCGGTCCTGAATATTCATTGGGAGGACAGATGCTGAAGCTGAAACTCCACTATTTTGGCCACCTGATGTGACTCATTGGAAAAGACCCTGATGGTGGGAAAGATTGAAGGCGGGAGGAGAAGGGGATGACAGAGGATGAGATGGTTGGATGGCATCACTGATTCAATGGACATGAGTTTGAGTAAACTCCGGGAGTTGGTGAAGGACAGGGAGGCCTGGCGTGCTGCAGTCCATGGGGTCACAAAGAGTCGGACACAACTGTGTGACTGAACTGAACTGAATATATATATAGACAGAAAATGAATGAATAATAGTCCCTGAAGCAACTCTTCATGGTGCAACACTCCAAGACTTCTATCCTGCTAGTTGTGAACTAGTACTTTATTAATTATAAGATTTGAAAAATTGTTTATATGTAATACATATTCTGGGTACATCATTCTCTACAAGAACGGATTGTAATGAATGTTTGTTGACCTCTTATTCATGCCAAGGAGCACAGGCTGTATTTTTAGTTTTGTATCTCCGTCTCCCGGGTGTGGGGCCTGAGGGCCCATTGTATTGAAGAGAAAATTGAGCCTGGAAGGGGGTGTCCTCTTAGCAGTGGAGCCTACATCGTACCCACAACTTAGAGCAGTCTCTAGGCCATTGGACTGCTTTCTCTGCAGCGCTCTGGGGCCCTCGGAAACCGGACCCCGTAGAGACAGAACCTGAGTTCCATCCCTTCTTAAGCGGTGGCTCCAGGCTTTCTTCCAGGCGGTGGTGAGGCAGCTTCGGTCCACGGGGCGGCAGGCTTCTCCCAGAATCACACTTGGCGGGGAACAAAGGCCGCAGTCTCCCGCCGCGGCGCTGGCGGCCAACTTTAGGGAATTAATCAGCAGCCGGAGAGCGCTGGGGCCACAGAGCAGCCAGCCGCTCGGAACAGCACTCAGGGCGCTTCCCCCGTCCGCGGAAGGGGAAGGGCGCGCAGCACAGGCTCCCAAACGTCCCCCGAATGCGGCCCCCGCGCGGCTGGCCGCAGACGGACAGACGGGACCCAAAGACAGGCCGCCGGTGCCGAGGAAGAACCTGCTGGCGGGAGGCAGCCGGGTGTAGGACCGCGGCTCGAAAGCGGCTGACGGCAGCCGTCCCAGGAGACCCGTCGGGCGGGGGCAGGGTGCTCAGATTTTTTGAATCTCAGTCATCAATAAGACTGACAAAAGCTGGTGACATCATAGGGGTGGATATCCAATTTTGATCTTGCCAGTTAAGGGAATTTAAAAAAAATACAGTTGGCCTTTACTATCACCTTCATAAAAGACAGGGAAAGATAGAAAAATATAATTGAAAACTAAAGGGTCATCGCTTAAACTGACCAAAGAAAAGCTCCCGTAAAAAAGAAATCTATGAAAACTTCATCGGCATCCTCAGTAGCTCGGCGGTAAAGACCCGGCCTGCAATGCAGGCGCCACAGGAGACCGGGGTTCGATCCCTGGGTTGGGAAGACCCCCTGGAGGAGCCCACCCCAGTATTCCTGCCTGGAGAACCCCAGGGACAGAGGAGCCTGGGGGGCTACAGTCCATGGGGTCGCAGAGTCTGACACTACAGCGTGTGAAAACTTCATTAAGACTCCAGGAGGCATTATTCTAAAGGTCTGATTCTTTTGGTTTGGAAGAACCTGTTAGGGAAATCAAGATTCGCAGAGCAAGTAAGTCACCTCTATTTCCCGAAGTCCGCTTCCCGTCCCCAGCAGACGGGAGGAGAGTCCGCCCTTCCTGAGCGCTTGGAACAGCATGCTCATTTTCCTTTCCTTTCTCTTTTTAAAATGGCAGTATGGCTGACTTACAGTGTAATATTAGTTGCAGGTGTACAACACGGTCATTCCATATTTTCATTTTTTTCTACGCCCTGACTCAGGTAACTCTCAGGCCTCCCCTTTGAGAGAGGACCTCGATATCGCTCCTGTTTTACAGGAAAGGAAACGAGACCTTGATGAGGTCTCAGCAGACGCGGGGGAGGCCGGCGCCCCTCCCCTGCCCCCCAACCCCGGGCCCCCGCTTGGCTGTTCTCTGGTTGTTCCAGGTGGCGCTGCAAAGAGATGAGGGTTTCCTAATTAAATTAAAAACAACTACCACCCCAGTAGACCATCAGAAAGGAAAATCATCCATACGTTCCCGTTTTTGAGGCAGCTAATGGCACCCCACTCCATATTCTTGCCTGGAAAATCCCGTGGACAGAGGATCCTGGCAGGCTACAGTCCATGGGGTCGCGAAGGGGCAGACACGACTGAGCGGCCTCACTTCGCTCCAATGTGTGAGCATGGCTGTCGTCATTATTTTTAAAAAGGGTTATTTTTTAACTCATTTTTAATTGGAGGGTAATTGCTTTACAGCGGCGGGTTGCTCTCTGCTGCAACACCGCGCACCAGCCGGACGTGTGCGTGTGCCCCCTGCGTCTCGAACCCCCCGCCCTCTCCCGCAGCCCACGCCTCTGGGTCAGCACAGAGCCCGGAATGAGCTCCTGGGTTACAGAGCAGCTTCGCACCGGCTACCTGCTTTACGGCTTCCAAGGTGGCAGAGAATCCGCCTGGCAAGCAGGAGATGCGGGTTCGATCCCGGGGTTGGGAAGATGCCCTGGAGCAGGAAGTGGCAACCCACTCCGGTATTCCTGCCGGGGAAGTCCCATGGACGGAGGAGCCTGGCGGGCTGCAGTCCACGGCGCCTTGGCGACCGATCACCGCCAGCAGCCGGCTTTACTCGTGGCGGTGCGCATCTGCACGCTGCTCGCTCGTCTGTCCCGCCCGCTCCTGTGCGCTGACGTGATGGACACTGCCGCCTGGGTGCCATGGAGACGACAGAACTTGATTTCCCGTGGTTCTGGAGTCGGAGGCCTGGCATCCAGGATCAGCGTGGCGGGGTGAGGGCCCTCCTGGGGGGCAAACTTCTCACTGTGCTCCCATAGGGTGGGAGGGCCTAGGGTCTCCTTGATAATGTACCCTCCCACTCAGGAAGGCTCTCCCCACGGGACAAACCACCACCCAAGGACCCCACCTTCTCAAATCATCACACTGGGCATGAGGATTGCCACATATGAATTTTGGGAGAACACAAACATACTTTGAGTTGTTCCAAGTGTTCGTTGTTTACAGAAAATATTGCACTGGACATCTTTGTACATTAAACGTTTTTTTTCATATTTCACATTTACTTCTGGTTAGATTTTTCAGAATGAGATTATTTGCTCTAAGGTTAGACTGTTTATTAAAGTTTTTCCCTAGTTTTGTTGAGAAATAATTGACATACATCACTGTATAAGTTTAAGGGCTACAGCATGATGGTTTGATCTGCATATATTGTAAGGTGATGACACAGTAGGTTCAAGTCACATCCATCTTCTCTTGTAGGTGCAGTAGAGTTTCCTGGGAACACAGTACTCTCCTTTGCATGCTGTCTGTGGCTTTTGTGTTACAACATCAGGGCTGCGCAGCGGCAACATGGACGTGTATTAACCCCAACCCACTGCACCCCCCAACCCACTCTCCTGCCCCCAGCAAAACGTTTACTGTCTGGCTCTTCACGGAAAGGTTTAATCCTGATCTCGCAGCTCTTTAGTTAATATTAATGAATTTTTTTGATGTACAGTTCATTTATAATATGTTAGTTCAGGTGTATAGCATAATGAGTTGACATTTTTATAAATTATATCTATAGTTATTATAAAATACTAGCTATATTCCCTGTGGTTAACAATATATTCTTATTTATAGCTTATTTATTTTATACACACTAGTTCGCATCTCTTGGTTGCTTACCTCTGCCTTGCCTCTGCCCTCCCCTTCTCTCTCCCCACCGGCAGCCACTAGTTGGTTCCTGTATCTGTGAGTCTGTTTCTGTTTTGTTATAGTCATTCATTTGTTTTATTTTTTAGATTCCACTTGTTTTGTAAATGATAGCACACATAAAGTATTTGTCATTGGACTTATTTTACTAAGTGTAATACCCTCCAGGTCCATCTGCTGCTGCTGCTGCTGCTGCGTCACTTCAGTCCTGTCAGACTCTGTGCAACTCCATCTACACTGTTTCAAATGGCAAAAATCTCACTCTTTTTTGTGGCTGAGTAGTATTCCATTGTATGTATACATATATCTTTATCCGTTCACCTGCTGATGGACACTTGGGTTGCTTCCCAATCTTGGCAATTGTAAGTAACGCTGCTATGAACATTGGGGTGCATGTAGATTTCCAAATTACTCTTTTTCTTTCCTTCAGATATATCTAGCATCTCTTTAGATAGCCTGTGAGTTCCCCTAAAAGTATAATTCTCATGGAAACTTTCTGAATATTAACAAAGCAGAGTCTGAGTTAAATAATTATTTCCATAAAATATGTCCAAGTTTCTGTTTTAACTCCTTTGTGAAATGAGGCAGAACAGAAATTTTTAAATGTCACAATAAAAGGCCATATGATTTAATCTAATATACATAGAAATATCATCTATAAATTTTCTTACGAAGGAAGAGAAAGAATCTCTATTTAGTCACTTCTACAGTCTGTTTAATTAGGAACGTTTTTAAAAAATTTTTTTCATTTTTGGCAAGAAATTCTGAAGGTGGAGAGGAGGCTTATGTCTCCAGCATGCCGAGGCAGGGACTGTCTTGGCCTGTTCTGGCTGCTATAACAAAAACACTATAGATCAAGGGGCTTAGACAACAAGCGTTTATTTTCCCACAGTCCTGAGGCTGGAAATCCCACATTTATAAATGTATTAGTGACAACAAGCAAGCTGGAAGCCCAGAGGCCTGGGCTCTGGCCCCAGCTACATTGCACCTTGCTGTGTGACTGCGGGCGGGCCACCCGACTTCTCTGAACGTCCCTGGGGAAATGGAGGGGTGGGGTGAGAGCAGAGATGGCAGACACTGAGGCTGTCATGTCTGGTCATGTGACTCAGATGTGAGTGGGCCTGGGCACCTGTGAATGCAGGCATGATTGGGGGCAGGGGCAGGCTTCCCTGCTGGGTAAAGAATCAGTGGGTAAAGAATCCGCCTGCAATTCGGGAGACCCCAGTTCGATTCCTGGGTCGGGAAGATCCCCTGGAGAAGGGAAAGGCTACCCGCTCCAGTCTTCTTGCCTGGAGAATCCCGTGGACAGAGGAGCCTGGTGGGCTATAGTCCTTGGGGTCGCAAAGGGTCAGACAGGACTGAGCGACTAACCCACCACCACCACTGGAAGGCATCTGTGGATTTCCAGTGTATTTCACCAAAGTGAATTCTCAGTTCCCCCACCAAATCTCACTCCATCTTTGACCTCTCTCTCTCACCCCAAACCTCAGGTGCTTCCATGAGGCATGTGGAAGGGTCTCACAGGATTGCAGCCAGCTGACCCCTCAGAGCAACCTTCCACCAGCATCTCCACCTGCTGGTTCCTACCTCCTTGGCCCCTTCAGTCCTAATCAGTGAACAACACCTGGACCAGTGGCATCCCCATCACCTCCTTCAGGGTCTCCCTGCCCCCGCCCCTGGGGCCCACAGCCTGTCTTTTCCGCCAGCAATGCTGGTTTGGAGCCAGGCAGCCTGGGTTCACTTTTGGACTCTGAGACTCCTCATCATGCGATTTTGGACACACTTCTTCATGTCTGTGAGTCTCAGTCTCCTCATGGGGTGGATGGAAATAATAATGGGACCCAGAACCATCTTAGGGGATTAAATAGGTCCATCCATATACAGTCAATTAATATTAAGCAGTAGCATTGTGGTTACTATGGTTTTGAAATGTATTGTCACTGTTTATTTGCAAGTTTATCCATTTCAGACTGAAATGGTCCTGTAAGAATGGGTATCTGATCTAAACCACACTCTCATTTCCCCAGAGTCTGGCTCTATGCTTATTTAGTAGGTGATCAGTTAATGTTTGGGAGGGAAACAGGAGGGGAAGAAGGAAGGAAAGAAGGCAGGGAAGAGGAAAGATTTTTCTCAGTGGAAAGTTACGATGCACCTTAAGATATCAGGTCTGAAAGGGGGTCCCTTCTCAGGGTACCGGGATAGGTGAGGTCTCCACTTTCACCCCAGATCATAGCAGTACATCCCCTTTCTGTTTTTGCCAAGTAACAAACACCCCCAAACGTAGTGGCTTAATGCCACAAGCAGTATTATGTCTCTTGGTTTTGTGGGTCAGGATTTGGGCCAGGCTCACCGGGAAGTTTTCCTCATGGGGTTGAATGTCGTCCTTTGAAGGATGGATGGTCTGGATGTAAAAACGCCTTCACTCCGGGTCTGATATCCTGCCAAAGTGGGCTGCAAGGTGCACCCCCTGACACTATCTGCTCCACGTGGCCTCTGCCTCCAGGTGATGTCAGGGAGCCAGAGTCCTTACTGGAGGCTGGATTCCCCCAAAACCAGTGTCCACAGCCAGAGCTGCAAGCCAGGCTTCGTAAGAGCAGCCTCAGAAGTCCCAGGCACCGCTTCTGTTGCCTCCTGATGGTCACGGAAATCACTGAGGCTTCTCTGATTCCAGGCAGGGTAGAATCAGACCCCGCATCTCCAGGGAGACGCAGCAAGGACCTGTTGGCAGGTTCATCCACCATAAGCTGTCCCTCCATCCCAGGTCCGTTAAACCAGGTATCACCCGGTCTCATGGACACTTTTCACTGAAACCCCATGAATGCAGTTTTTTACAGGTGTGCAAAATGTGCATTTTTTTTTTCCCGGTGAGATTAGCTGTCAGGCAGATTATGAATTCCTGCATGGTGGTCTTCCTTCTTACCAAGGTTTATCTAATCCCAGTGCTCTGTGATAATTTCCCAAACAAACATGCACAGTCTTGTAAGCTATTCGAATAATGCAGAAAAAACTAGTCACTCTTGAGTTCTCTGCCTTCCCCACCTCATTCCCCTCCTCGGAGATAATCCCCACCAGCACTTTGATGAGCGTTCTTCATGGGGTTTTCCCGTGTGTAACGTGGACATGGAAGGTTTTTAAAAATGCAGATAGCCTCGTTCTTGTATTTTTTCTGTAATTTGCTTATTTTTCACTCAAGATTATGGAGAAGAGATTGTTCATGTCAGTACCCTGGATTTATTCTGTTGTTTTCAGCGTGTGAATTGTTTTATCTGATGGTGAATGTATGTGAAGCATGGTGCCTGGTGCCCAGTAGGCGCTCCCTCCATCGGACAGAATCCACTCCACCTCTGATCTGGGCAGGAGTCTGGGATGCAGGGTTTGGTGATCGGAACCTCCCGCTGGCCACTGTTGCTGGTTTGGGGACAAGCGCGTGACATCATGGGAACAATAGTCAGGGAATGCCGTGCCCTGAACACCTGGGGTTAATCTCAGACGTCTCCAGGTCACCTGTACCACTTGGGAGGTGAATGAGCCCTGCACCAGGATCAGGGTTCTCTGGGTGAAAGAGACAGGGTGATGGGTGCTGGGCTGATCACAAACAATGTCCAGCACCATGCTCTGCTCATTTTCAGAGCTTGAGGGTCTGAGGAGCAGAGAGAGGAGGAGACTCGCCCAAGAACAGCCGGCTAACGCCAGACCCATGTTTGTGACCAGAACCCAGTCATTTGCATTTTTGCTGGAAGCAATTTGCTGTTGTTGTTCAGTCGTGTCCGACTCTGCGGCCCCACAGACTGCAGCACGCCAAGCCTCCCTGTCCATCACCAACTCTTGGAGCTTGCTCACACTCATGTCCATTGAGTCGGTGATGCCATCCAAGCATCTCATCCTCCGTCGCCCCCTTCTCCTCCTGTTTGAGTTGGGTTTTTCTATCATTTTCAACAAAGAGGAATCTCCACGGAGGCATGAAGCACAGAAGGACCATTCTTCAGTTTATCCTCATGACCCAGCCGGGGCTTGGCACAGAGCCTGACAAGCAAATACTTGATGCGTGGAAGAGAGAGTGAACCGCGAGTGCCATGGAGAGCCTAGTGATCTTTAGGTCCCTGAGGAATCCCAGAGCAGCTTCTCAGACCCTGGTGCGCACACA